TCAACATATAGATTAGACTAATTTCCACGTAACCCTACATTTCCGCTAACTATTTTATTTTTGGAAAATTGATTTTGTTTTTGTTTTCTTCTCTTATCGCTTACTACGACGACGACACTAATAAATTGTCTAATACATGTGTCCCATCGTTTGAAAATATAAAGTCATAATCATGGAAAAGTTGCAAGGCATATATAGTTCAAAATGTTTCGTTGGAAAATTTGTTAAACCGGATTGAAACCAAATAAAAACCCTATATAAAAAAAAATCTTTTAAAACGAGAGCATCACTACAAGAAGGGAAAAAAAGTATCACAAAACCAATAGTAAATGTAAGAAAAAAATAAGAAAACTAAAAATGAATAATGTACATAGAAAAAAAAAAGACATAAATCTCGACATCGTTAATAACTTTTAGTTGTCAAAAAAGTAAAATAAACTTTTAGTTTGATTCCTCAAGTTGTAGGCGCCGAATAATATTAAAACCCTAGAATTGACTTTTTGAAGATAGCAATTCAAGTTTCAACCGGGACTAAACCGAATCGGAATGTCTATCTTAACCCGAACCACACAAAACACGATTTTGGTCAAGCACATTAAGCCCAATAAGGAACTTAAACGGGCCCAAACTTGTTCGATCTTCTTCTTCTCACACACACCGAATTTATTAAATCTCAAATTCCATTTCATCTCCGGTTCGACTTCACCGGAAACCACCGCGATCTCCGTCGCTTATCTCCGGTACTGTTAGACGAATCTGTGAACCTATCATATTTTTGAAAATTCACCAATCTCTTTATCGAAATTTCTAGATATGATTCGATAGAAGTCACCGATCTTCGATTTTTGAAATAGAGGGTCTCTATCTTTGATTCTCTCGATTAGGATTCCATTAGATGTCGAACATTGAACTGTGTGATTCATCTCAATATCATATATGTGGATCGGAACATTGAACACATTTCTCTTCTTCAATCCTTCAATTTCGATTGCATTGCTAGTTTATGGATTAAGAGTGTTGATGCCTTTGGTATCATTTTTCTAGCCTAGGTTCGGATACTGCTTCTGAGTTCTTTGAACAAGGGCTGGTGCAGGCTTATAAGAGCTATGATGATTACTGAACTTGATGTCTGTGTTTTTTCAGGAGACACAAGATCTAGTTTCTTCTACTTGGAGACTGAGGGATTGAATGGCTAACACTGCCTGCTTTATAATCGTGGGTCGGAATGATATTCCCATCTATGAAGCTGAAGTTGGATCTGCTGCCAAAGTACATTTCTTACTCCACCTTCACTACTTGTTTAGGAGATTCATATATGTGTTATCGGAGGAAATGAATCGGAATCATTGAAGTTTTTTTAGTTCATGTTGCTGCCTTTTTACTCATTTTTTCACATTTATGTTCTGTTAGATCCATAATCATAGGTTCTGAATCTTTAACATGATAGAATATACACCACAACTTTGGTTTCCTGTTCACAGTTTAACTCTCCAGACTTAACCTTCTGAATCTGTTACAAAAGAGGTGAAACGATCACTTAGCTTCCTTCAAACAGAAATATCCAGGATAATAGATTTGATTATCATTGTTGTTCATTGTTATTACTTTCGTTCAAAATCTTTTTGGCGAAGGGACGTTTCACAATGTCTTGCATTTACATGACCAAACAAGCATGCATAGTTCTCTTAAGATCATCTAAGTTTTGCTTGGACAGGAATTGCAGGACTAATTGGTTTCTGGTCTATCATATGTTTTTGTGTTTATGTTTTCATCTAGCTGGTGGATATGATATCAGTCTCTCACACCATTATTTTCTATTGGGCAGAGAGAAGATGCTGCTCAGTTGCACCAATTTATATTGCATGCAGCTCTAGATGTTGTCCAAGACCTAGCATGGACTACAAGTGCCATGTAAGTAAAGTCTCTTGTGAAATATATGATTCTGTTATAAGGATTCATCTCATTATCATATAAACCATACAGGTTCTTGAAGTCCGTCGACAGGTTTAACGATCTGGTTGTGTCAGTATATGTTACCGCAGGCCATATCCTTTTTTTTGGAACCTAAATAGCAAGTGCAAATTATTTTATCTTCTTCTGATTCATCCATCTTAATGATGTCACAGATTGGTATGTTGGGTTATATGTGGTTAACAAATTCACCTCCAAGTTTTTAAATGTTTGTTTCTTCCTTAATTTGTCAACACATACTCGACTCATGCTCCTTCATGATTCACGCAATGAAGACGGTATCAAGAGCTTCTTTCAGGAGGTGCATGAGCTTTACATAAAGGTAATATTTTCTTGACTTGTTGTTGGATCTGATATGATTCGGTTGGACCTTATTAGCACAAATCTAATTTGCATCACCATCATCAAAATCTCTTGTTCACACAGATTCTTCAGAACCCCTTGTACCTTCCCGGTTCTCGGATTACATCGTCACATTTCGACACCAAAGTACGTGCACTTGCAAGAAAGTACCTGTAGAGAAGACTAAGATTCCGTCTCGCATAGTTCACAGTCAATTGTTTCTCTTCTATGTTTGATGCTGGACTTGTGTTATTTCTTATAGTTTTAAGCACATTTTGTTGAGAAAATGATCAAATTTATTAAGTCTCTCTCCCTTTCTTTGTATAATCGAAAGTATTTGCAGTAATCAGAGAAAGAAAGACTTTGCTTTGAATTGAATCTGTATTGGAAAAACAAAAGCTACATGTCTCTTATTTTCAGATTAACGACTAACCTAAGTAAACGTGACACTTTAATTGCTAATCACCAATTAATAACTAACATACTTTAATTGAAGACAAAAAGGGTTCATTAGTATGATCCTTTATAAAAGAGGCCACGTGTGAAGTTAAAGCACCAATAGTAAGATAGAAGT